TTGTTATATTTTTTTGTTTTGTTATTGTTCTGATGTGTTGCTTTCTATTTTTTGTGTGTTATATATAGCGTAAATGCCATTTAATTAATTTGTTCCTACCTTTATTAATATATATATATATATATATATAAATGGGTTATGTTAGAGCGTGTCTCCACCAAAACCGAACACATGTATTGAGACAGGCCACTTATGTGTAATTCCATAATTTACATTTAATACCCTGTAATTTTTCTTGAATTACACACGTTTAGGGTTAAAACGGCCAATCTTCGGATAGATGGACGCACGCCCTTTTACTTGTTAATTTTTTTAGGTTATTTATGTGCTGTTCTAATTTTGATTTCATTCTGTTGTGAAACCTTAATTTTTTCCCTTTTTTACACCCTGTGTGGCTAGAAATGATATTTTGGATGCTTAAAACAGAGCACAAGAATATCTGGTGCTTTAGATTAAGTTGCCTCTATAAACGTATTGCTATATACGTCGTCACAGAGAGTTGAAGGCTTGGAAATTAATGGCAACTTTTGCCATTTTTGTGGCAACTTTTGGACAAAAAAATTGCAACAAACGGAGATGCTAGACAAACACAAAAAAGAAGGAGGGAAGATAAAGACGATAGATATTTGACAGGAAAGAAGAAGCAAACCACACCAGAGCACCCGCCAACCACCCACACAGACAGACAGACAGACAGACAGACAGACAGACAGACAGACAGACAGACAGTGGTAGGGTTACCAGATGTATATGTAGTCCCACATGTCAAAAAGAGATTCTCCGCTCAGCTGACTTGACTGTCAGATTTTGGTAGTCTAACAAAAGTTACATTATCTATCGGAATTCTCTTGGCTTGTTGCTCCAATAACATTTTTACAGACTAAATCTGCCTGAATCAATGAAAAGGGAAGGACAAAAGTCATTCGACTTATAACTTATTGCTTTACAACTAAACTAAAAGAATAGAAAAGTAAAATCTGAATCAATAAAAAGTGAATAAGAGTAAGAGTCATTTTGATTCAATTTTATTCAAAATACTTCTCAACACAAAATAGTGAAGGTCGGACTTTTTCCCTAAACAAAGCATGACACTTTTGAACAAAACAAAACAAAGCATGCTTGGGGAAATGTTTGAGAGAAAAGCTAGAGAGAAAGTATAAAAGAAAAGGCATGAGAGAAAAGCAAGAGAGACAGCATGAGAGCAAGCATTTAACAAAGACTTAAAAGATCTACTGTGACAATGATGTGATTTGATTAACCTTTAACAAAATATTTATCAATACAGGAAAACAGAAACGTTAGAAAAACTACGAAATAATAAAAGAAAAAAAAAAAAGAAAGAAAATCGGAGAGCAAGGGATAAGATTTGGGAACATGCATGATTCACTTTTGCTACACTAATAGCAATGAAGAAAATTATCTAGCAAGTCGACTAATTTGTTGGGTATCACTTTTGATTACCAATTTGTGCTTTTATTTCTAAATGTAAAATTCCTAAAAGTAAATCTAGAATTTAAAATTAGGCTCATGGAAAAACTTTTTTTGTACACAACGACCAGTCTTTGCGTATTTGAACTGTCCCTACATTTGAAACACTTGAGACAGCCAGCTGCTCTCACTGTGACACAATCGTCCATCATCAAGACTCTGTTTTTTCATGAGTGTAGTAGACATTTTTCACTAGAGGGTCAAACATTTTTCACTAGTGCATCAAACATTTTTCACTAGTGCATCAAACATTTTTCACTAGTGCATCAAACATTTTTCACAAGTGCATCAAACATTTTTCACTAGTGCATCAAACACTTTTCACAAGTGCATCAAACATTTTTCACTAGTGCATCAAACATTTTTCACAAGTGCATCAAACATTTTTCACAAGTGCATCAAACATTTTCAAACATTTTTCACAAGTGCATCAAACATTTTTCACAAGTGCATCAAACATTTTCAAACATTTTTCACAAGTGCATCAAACATTTTTCACAAGTGCATCA